CTTGGTAGGTGAAGGACGAGGTGATCTCTCCACCAGTGCTCTCTACATGCCCCAATGTTTCTGAGCAAGTGAAAGAGTCTTGGGCACAGGGGCAGAAAAGGACTTTCTGGTCCAGGCTGCTTGCTGTCATTGGAACTCTTCCTGTTCTTTTGTTTGCTCCAGGGTCCTTGACTTGGGGAAGAGAGCCTCGAGTTCATAGGGAAAAACAGGCTTAACAAACTAGGGCATATTTATTTTGTAATGGACCTGACAATCAAATAATTCAGGAGATATGTTTAAAATGATACCAAAAGATTACAGCACAGTAAGGATTAAAATTTAGGTCTCCCCAGCACCCGGAAGGAAGCTCCCCCACCACCATCCCAAGCTCCTAGGGCAGAGAAGCTGAGCCAGTGCTGAAGCTCCCCCACCACCATCCTAAGCTCCTAGGGCAGAGAAGCTGAGCCAGTCCCGGAACCTGGAAGGAAGCTCCCCTGCAGCCATCCGAAGCTTCTAGGGCAGAGAAGGTAAGCCAGTCCCAGAACCCAGAAGGAAGCTCCCCCGCCACCATCCCAAGCTCCTAGGGCAGAGAAGCTGAGCTGGTCCAAGCACCCAGAAGGAAGCTCCCCCGCCGCCATCTCAAGCTCCTAGAGCAGAGAAGGTGAGCTGTGCAGGAGCCAGAAGCACCCCCTGCCCCCCTTGGAAATGAGAAGACACATAAACAAGCCTGAAAAACATACTTCTGGATCACCTACAGCAACCCCAAAGGGAAATGAGATGGAACAATCTGATCCTCAACCACCTGGATTCTCTGAACTGGCATCAAAAGAGGATCTGGGAAAAATGAAATCAGAAATAATTTCTCAGATAACAGCAAAGATTGTACTCATAGTGCAAGACATGATTAATCAATCTAGAGAGGACAAAGATAAAAAATAGAAGATCTGAGGAATATGATGGAATCCCAACATAGGAAACAAATGGAATCCATAGAACACATACAAACAGATTTCCAGGAGATTAAAAACTCCATCGAAAGTCTGCACAGCAGAATTAACCAATGTGAGGATAGAATTACAGAGACAGAAGAAAAGATTGCAATTAGTGACCAGGAAAAGAAAAACTGCTTTAAAATTGTAAAGGAACACAAGAAAGCAATCCAGCAGCTGCTAGATGATGCAAAGAAGAATAACATAAGACTGATTGGAGTCAATGAAGAAACAGGAGAGAGTGCAGATGA